ACCATGAATTGAAAACATAAAATCGTCCACTTCTTTACAATTCGCAACAATAAGTAATTTGCAATTTTTGGTTTATATTTATTTGGGAGTTTTCGCAGCTTGCAGTATTTATATTTATGTAACACNCAATGTTAACAATCTTCTCAATATCACATACAGTCCATTAATCTAATTTTCTCATTAAACTCATCCATTGTTCTCACAAGTTAGTTATTAAGTAATATTGTTAAATAAAACCATGAATTGAAAACATAAAATCGTCCACTTCTTTACAATTCGCAACAATAAGTAATTTGCAATTTTTGGTTTATATTTATTTGGGAGTTTTCGCAGCTTGCAGTATTTATATTTATGTAACACAATTAATTTTTTGGTTGTTTGTATATATATATGTTTGTACATAAATATGTGTATTTGTTATTTTGTAAGGTTTTTTGATAATATCTATGAATAAAAAATAAATGCTGCCTAATGATTGAGTTATAATTTATTTTTGTCAAACTTTTTTATTTTTATTACTAAATGACTGCTTTGAAATATCGTTATTCACCGATGACTGCAAAATGACTGACCAGTCATGAATAACAAAAAAGACTGGTGACTTCAATTTCGCAGTCTTTAGTAAAAAAAGTGACTGAAAGGCTGCAGTTAAAAATTGCTAGTCAATGAATGCATGGGCGTAACCAGGTAGGGGCGGGGGGTGCTCGAGCCTCCCCCTCTAACTTTCAAATTTTTTTTATATATATATAAAATAGTACCCTGAAATGCCAGCTTAATAGGGTCGAGCCCCCCCTAAATTTCATTCTGGCTACGCCGATGAATGAATGTGACTGCAACGATTTTCAGTCACGTTGATTGCATTACTTAACACCTCTGGTAAGTAGCGATCTATTCGCGCCGCTGAGTAGCGCTCTTGCAACGTCGGTGAGTAGCACTTGGTCGCGTCGGTAAGTAGCGCCCCGTTCGTGCCGGCGAGTGGCGCTGTTGCAATGTCGGTGAGCAGCGCTCTAGTCGCGCCGGTAAGTAACGCTCTGGTAGCGTCGGTGAGTAGCGTTCGGCTAACATCGGAGAGTACCTTTCGCGGCGCGACGATGAGTGCCGCTCTTGTAGGCGCGTTGACTTCGCTCCGCCGACGGCGATGAGTAGCACTCTGTTGACGCCGGTGGGTACCGCTCTAGTCGCGTCGCTGAGTGGCGTTCTGGTGACGCCGGAGAGTAGCACTCTGGTAACGTCGTCTGCTGACGGCAGTAAGTGGTGCTCTGCTGGCGCTGATGAATGTCACCCTGCTGACGGTGGACAAGCGGGTGTCGCTTGTACGCGGCTTCACGGTAGGCTGTGGTGCGCTCACGGCTCTACTTCTCAGCGGTGATGTTTTGTGGTGTTATCAACGATGCACAAGCATTCCCCCATTCAGTTGTAGATGTCCAATCGCGGCCACAGCTCCGTGCTGACTGACTGCTTTTCCGTCGTATTGCTCCTCTAATAGGCTTTGTGCTTAATGTTGCGTGGTCGTGCAGCTACATGTTGCTGTGTGATGTTGCGTTGTCATGGCAACGAACAGTGTTTAGGCCACCGGCCTTAATTTGCTTGAACTCTTCGACCCACCCTAATAGTTAACATACTTAGGATATTATGATTGCCGTCGAGCTGTTAACTACAATGTTAAGAAAATATGCAATTATAGCTTCCGTTAAATAAATCGTTCGACCGGCAGCCGCAAATAAAACCAGAAGCTCGTTAAGCGACTATCCGAGAAGGAAGACATCCACCCACCAAGTTCCAGAAATTTATAATCCAGGTAACCTGAAATAGATATATATATATATATATATATATTTCTATTTCAGGTTACCTTGATTATAATATATATATATATATATATATATATATATAGATGTACACCTTACTTTATTAAATGAATAAACAACATTGTTCTTATTAGTTATACTAATACTAAATTCTTTTAATTTATTTTCATCAAATTTATCATCGGTGCGAACGTGCAACCAAATCTTGCTCCAAGCGTTGCGCCGATAACTATGGGACCCAATAGTAACGTATCTATGTTTTACAAAACTGCCGGAGGTGAAACTTTCGCTGTGGGAACAATCGGTAGATAATAAAACTGCAATTTCCAAGTGGATAGATATGGACCGATTTCTTTCAAATAGGTTCCAAACGCTTGAATCGGTCTCAGGTTTAAGAGGAATCACGGCTATGAAACCCTCAAAGGCTCCGAACTATAAGCATACCTCTGAACTTTCGCATAAGAGACTTGGCGCTTTTCAAACAAGTGTCGTTAAATATATGTGCAATATGTGCCAGTGTAACGAACACAAGGTGCATCTATGTCCAAGGTTCCGCAAATTAACCGTAGAAGACAGAGTTGCTTTCGAAAAAAACAATAATTGTTGTGTGAAATGCCTCGCCTTTAGACATTTGGTATCGAAATGCACTAGTTCGTTCAATTGCGCCACCTGCCATTCTCGAAATCACTCACTCCTACACGTTCAAACAGCACCTCCAAAGGAAACAAATTGGAATGAGATTTCTGAACCTTTGGATACTTCAGCGTCCACGTCCGGACAGGCTCAAATGCGACGCGAATCTACAATAGGCAAAAGCAAAACTGTTAATAAGGTAAAAACATCCCGCTAACCAGAGCTGTGTAAGTGTGAAATCATTTTCAATTTTAAATCAACAATTTTTTTCTATCCAGTTTTCATTACTTATTCTTCGCTTAAGATTGAGGTTTATAATTTTTTAATTTTCCATTCATGCAAAGCAGTTATGAATTCACACATCAACACATTCATAGCAAGATTGAAAAAAAGCAATGCCCAATCAATAAAAGGTTTAATTCTGAATGTATATTGAAAAGGCTGCAATCTTTTATGTGTGTGCATTCTTTAATTCAGTACCAATCATTACTTCAAAGACACCCTGGTAAACAACTTTTTGATAAAAAGGCAGATTTTTGACAATTGCCCAATTGTAAAAATTCGAAGCGGCGTTACCCAATTATGTTTTTTGGAAGAGGGGATTTTATATCATAAATTTGGGATTATATATAAAACAGTTGTATTAACATTTACATTTTAAAAATAATTCATATCTTATCTTGAAAATGTTTAAATTTTACATTAAATTCGATAACCACTTCGCAAAACCTTTACATTTAGGTTAATAAACTTTTAGTGAAAATACTTTGAAATCTAAGTGTCTTTAATAAAAAAAAACAGCTCATCATAAAAATTTAATCGACGTCGGCGTAAGACTGTAGGTCCCTCCCAAGGCACATTAAACAGGTAGTATCATTTGATCCATCCTTTACAAGGGCCAGTAATCAGCGGTTGTGCTGCTGAGTTGGGCGAACGTTCCAAAAGCTGCTATTCAATCGCTTGTTTCACGTGCAAATGGATTTTAACAATTCAGAATTTTTGTGAAAAAAAATTAAAAATATTTGACATTTTCGAGACCAAATAATTTGAAAATAAATCAAAACAGCTGCTCTACTGATACTACCTGTTCAATGTACCTTGGTCACTCCCATTTATGTGACAACAAAAGCGCACGCTACAAATCGGAGGAGAAGCTCGGCAAAAGACTAACATAGGTATAAGTGCCAATTTAGCGTTGATTTTTTGAAATTGTATTGCTAACCGTTTCCCGCATTTTATTTCATAAGGAATTCATGCTTATATGGAAAAAGGTGCAAGAATCCGTCACAGAAAAAATTCNTAAATCAAAACAGCTGCTCTACTGATACTACCTGTTCAATGTACCTTGGTCACTCCCATTTATGTGACAACAAAAGCGCACGCTACAAATCGGAGGAGAAGCTCGGCAAAAGACTAACATAGGTATAAGTGCCAATTTAGCGTTGATTTTTTGAAATTGTATTGCTAACCGTTTCCCGCATTTTATTTCATAAGGAATTCATGCTTATATGGAAAAAGGTGCAAGAATCCGTCACAGAAAAAATTCTCAAAAATCAACGGTTGGAACTTGACTTTATTGCACTAAAATGAGCGGTATTTTTATTAAAACAGTAACAAAAAAATTAAGCTCGAAAAACATTACGATTATTTAAAAAAAATCAACACGTTGTCATTTGTTTGAGTCACCATATGTACATACATATGTTCATATCGTCGTTTAAAGTACAAAAAATAAATAAAAATAAAATAAAATAAAAATTTTTTAGAAATTCTGATTAAAGTTTTTAATTTTGATGAAATTTTGCACAATTATCATAAATCTCGCACAAAACTTGAAACTTGCATTTATATGGTGTTTGTGAAAACGCAAGTCAAATTTAATAAAAAATTTGCCAAAAATATTTAACATGAACAACATTGCGAATATTGAAAAAAATAATAACCGCGCCCTCAATTTTGTGAGTAAGGGTATGTTCCGATAATCTTGTTTAAATGAAAAACAGCGACGTTAAGAAACAATGTCTTTTATTTACGTAGTCTAACCGGTAGAAGTTAAAGCAGCTATTTCGGAGACCACTTCATCTCCTCATCAGACTTCTTTTTTCTAAATAACAGTGAGACCGAATAAATTTATACTTTTCTTAAAAAAGCAGTAATAAAACAACGAAATATTTGAAGACGTAAGTAAGTATTTCTGCCACCAACTGGAGGAGAAGCTCGGCCAAACACTTAGCAAAAGTATCAACGCCAAAATATTATTATTATAAATAAATTTAGTTTTAAACAGGTCCCAACCCTCTTCAAACACCTCAAAAGTATTCCCAATATTATTTAGTTGTCAACCCGTATGGGCCCGATTACCATTTTTTACCAGCATTTTCCAGCTTTTACCGGAAATCGTACTCGGTTTTCTGGCAACTGAGAGGACAAATAAGAGAGTAAGTAAAGTCATCTCTTTGTCAGAAGCTACCAGTTTAATCCGAAGATTTTTTGGTGGTAAATTCTGGCAAATGTGTCAAAAGATTAGATGTAGTGTGTTTGACAACCAAATTGTAAACAAAAAAGAAGTGCACTCTGCTAATGCATCTTGAAAAGTATATAACTACTTGTTTAAGAGGATGCTAATGAATTTTGGTTAAATTACAAAATGCCTAAAAAGGTATTAGCCATTATTTTAGGTTTAAAACCTTTAAGCCTTTAACACTTTACCACGCATAACACGGCTTGTGAATCCCCTATATGTGTTTGACCATTTAAGTACATCGTTGTTTATTTGGGTAAAATTAAAATATATTTTACTGTTCAATATTGGAGTCTGAAACAAAAATTAATAATTTATTGTAAGTTTGCAAATGAGAACTACAATTGTGAACTTATTGAGCATCTCTCTTTCAAAAACAAAAGAAATTTTGCTTGTTCAAGTTTCGAATCTAAGAAGAAAATGTTTTTAAACAAACAAAAAGTTAAAAATAAAATTTGAAGGATTTTAGATATTGCGTATGGTAGTATGAAATGTCACAATCTGCTTAATTGTCAGGTTGTTGATATGGCGACGAAAAAGTGGCAATGGAACTATCTCCTTTTTGTATCATGGAAACACATAGCTACAGATGTCAAACTTACAGTGGGATAAACTTCAAACCTCTAATATAAATTAGTTAAATTTAGTTATTATTTTTTTTATCAATTTAAAGTTTTCGTTTGGAATAATTTTCATGAACTAATCCATTAAGAGATCTTTTTGGAAAATTTCCGTACATCCGATATCCATCAAAATTTTGACATCCGCACTTTTTGGGAAAAGAAGTTGAAGATACAAGTTTGTGTGCAAAAAATTAATTAAATACTAATATTTATGAAACTTATAATAGAAAATTTTTTATTTCAATACCCAGCCTACTCTACAAGTAATAGTAGAATTTCGAATTAGTAAGTTCAGTCAAGACGTGAATGATTAAAAATTAAACAATAAATAGTTAATAGCGATTAATGATTAAAATTAATTAAGCGATCGCTGTGATGTATTGGTTAGAAGTGCGAACTACCATTCGGCAGGGTAAGCGTTCGAGCCCAGTTTCGGCCAGCATCAGAAAAAAAAAGTTTTTTCTAATAGCGGTGGCCCCCCGGCAGGAGTCGGCGTAAAACTGTAGGTCAATTCCCCTTTGTGTAACGACATCAAGGCGCATGCCGGAAATAGGAGGAGAACCTCGGCCAAACACTAACATATGTGTAAGCGCCAATCTATAATTATCATTAATCGTCAATACAGTTTTAAATTACATAAACCCAGTTACATCACTTTTTTGTATTCGACGCTTTCAGAAATCACGTAATACATAAAATAAATAAAAGCAGTTTTTATTAATATTACATAAACTGGAAACTGTTAAAAATCGGTGCTCATATGGAATAGTAGCTTATTGGCATTAGTATAATACGATTGCGAATGACTCACTGGCTCCGAGCCGTTGAAGAAATGTTGGCAAATAAACGTGCAAGAAATAGTTCCGATACTAGCAAGTCAATATTCTTATTAAGTCCCATCAAGAAATTCCTTGTCGTTTATAGTAGCGATGGGCATAATGTGCACATACGGGCAAAATGCCCAAACGTGAAAACCGAGGGCAAATGTGCAAACCGTTGGGTAGATGAGGTGAGGTAATTATGCCCGGGGGGGAAACAGAAAATTTTGCGCGAATTGCATCTGTATGTGTGATCGGAATAAGAGAACAAGTATATGTGAGTACTCACGAATGTGAGACCCCATGGCTGCCAACTTTCCTAAAAGCACCAAAACTTGGGACAAATCAAAACATCAAAAAATTTTGTTCAGTAAAATTTAATATGCATTTATACTACATTAGTGATCGGTCCAAGATATAAGTATTCTTGTATTTATCAAAAACCAAAATAAATAGCAACGCACTAATAACGATTTTAAACTTTTATAGAACCAATTGAATTTTCACTTTAATTCAATCAAGATATATATTTTATTTGAAACAATGCATTTATACACATATGTATGTACATACTTATGTGTATAAAACGATTTTCGTATCCAGAATAAAATGCACTAAATAAGCACTGAACATGGTGGGAAAGGTATTCTAATAGTATTATATAGTTGTCGAATATTTTCAGGTATCTTCGGCTCAGCTGACATGAAAAAAGCTGCATGTATGCATATCTATGTATATATTTTTGACTAGCAAATGCCTGGCTTGCTTCGCGACGCCCTATAAGAACGTTTGCGTTGACCAATACAAAAATAGTGTTGCAATGCAAAAACGGTTTGTAATGTAAAAATTATTAGTTTAGGTTGAAAAGACTGAAGAGCAGAACCTTGCTAAGAGCTCTTATTTCCACTGTGAGATATATGCAGGTATTGCAAGGTTTGCCGAGAGTGCGTAATTTTCTATAATACTCCTGTTCCACAGGATGAAAGAGTCTTCCCGTTCAAACGGGGTCATTAATATTCCTACCGTGTTCTCTCTAATTCAGCACACTTCTTATTGATATACCGATGACCCGTTGATGTGCCTAGGATATCTGTGGAGCATAAACAGTTTAGCATTTCTTTGTATGCATATTTAAAGAATGGGGTTTTATTAAGTCATCTAAAATGTAAATTTGTATAGGGGCATCTAAATATCATGATTTCAGCGCCCTTTTATGTTTTGGACCCATTTTTTTGCAGAAGCACTTCTTATCATAAAGTTAATACCCGTTAATCCAGGGCATACTATAAAGACGTGTTCTCTAAATATCTCGACTATTTTTTTGCAAAAGTATATTATGCGGTGCAGAGCGGAGTTTCAAATGTGACGTATGATTCCGAAATTATGGCTAATTAAAACTTTCACACCTATAGGATGAGCCACGCCCCTTTTACAGAAGTATATCTACTTTACAATAAGCATCTACCATAGCTGTTTATGTATGTCAACACACCAAATTTCAAAGTCATGTGATTTACGGTTTCGAAGTTATAGCTGATTAAAAATGTCACTCGTATGGGAGGTGCTACGCCCCCTTGTCCGATATCATTTTTTTGAACCTTAGGTTACGTCCGAGGTCACTCTCTACATTCCAGTTAAAGCCCGACGAGAATCCATTCAGTAGTTCCGGAGATTAGTGAGTTCAAACAGACAAACAATCTACAGTTTTATTATAGTATATTATTATTATTATCGGTTTATAAAACATATTCTGACAAACATATTCTGAGCGTTCAGAATATATGAGTCTGAAAGGAGTCCTAGGTTGGTAAGATATATGAGCTTCAAAAATAAAATAAGAGTCCGAATGGAGTTATTTATGGGGACTATAAGCCACATTTAAGAGCCTCAAAAAAACTCTGAAACGATTTATATATGAGGCCAAAAATTGCTTTAAAAAGAGTCCAAAATGAGCCGTTTATGAAGCCAATGAGAGTCCAATATGACTCATTTGGAGGCTTATTTGATGTATGAATTTAAGCTCATATAAGTCGACCTTCGGAGGAAGGAAAACACACTAATTTCGGGCTCTTAAATGAGCTCATTATGAGCGTAAAGGCTCCGAAATGGGACGCCTTAAAGACTCATTTATGACTCCAAATGTATATTTCATTGATATGTACATATCTCTCGCTCATAGGGAAAGCACTTATTGAATTTTGTTTTTCGTGTTGCGCATGCATTTTCTTTTTACTTTAAAATTTCAATACTCCACACAATTAAAAAAAAAACGTTTTTCTCGATAAGTCAATGCTGAAACCACACGCTTTATTTCCTTTTAAATAAATTTCTTTTAATTCCGCAAATTAGAAATTCGCTAGAAATGTAAATACATAATTACTTCCAAATGTCAATTCTTGACTCAAGGGAATGCTTCGAACTATATCCGCTTAATTCACAGAATATGCTTTTCATGTGAGCGTTTTCAAAATATCTAATTAATTTGTATGTACAAAATCCAATGTGATACACGAAACACAAAGAAATTTAAATAAATCAGTTTCTACCTACCGATTATCTTTTGACTTACAAATTCTTAGAAAACACCACTCTTGTAAGACACAAAACTCCGCGACAAGCGTTTAACCTCGTATGTATCTACATATGTTCAAGACCGGTTTCAATATGTACGAACGACACTAATTACTATTTCAGTTGAAAAAAATATCAATAGCGAAAAATAAACACTGGCATATGTTGATGTCGTTGAAAAGCAAAATTATATTCAAAAGAATTTGGTGCAAAGTAAATTTTGATGGTATATTGGTATATCTTTTTTGTCTACATTCCACTTTTGATAAAATATAGCCTATGTTACGTCCGAGGTCAATGTCTAGATACCAGTTAAAGCCCGATGAAAATCCATTCAGTAGTAGTCCCGAGATTAGTGAGTTCAAACAGAAAAACAATCTACAGTTTTATTATAGTAAAGATGATTTAAATATTTTAATTTTTAACGATTCAAAGTGAAGTGTATGTATATACCTACATATATACTGCTGCAAATAATTATAAACTCAAAGTAATTTTAAATGCAACGCAAAAATTTTAAAACAAATTGGTGAATTTACATAGTCTCATAAAATTATAAGTCCAAAAGTAAAAACTTAAAAAATTACGTAGTATGTTATACGCACCGAAAATACGGAAGTCACAGTTGTATTTTTTTAATTCCTTTTTCTATGCTAGACAACAACAAAATCTTTAAACAAAGCTAGTACAAACGCTAGTAGTAGTAGTTAAACAAACGAAGACGATATTCTTATGACCAATTTTTATACTTTATTTAATGCCACAAAATCCCAATACTGGTTATAAAACCATATAACGAAGTTCCAATTTTGTTTTTGTTAAAAAACCGATGGTTTTTTATAAACATATGATCTCTAATTTCATCAAATAAAGTTTAACTGCTAAATTATAAAAGAAACTTTTTTCATAAGAGTTTACAGAAATTAAATGATTTAACAGGATTCTAGCGATTTTTGTTTATTAATCTGGCGGGACGGCAGAAACAGAAATGGCAACACTGGGGGTGAGTACCGACTTGCTTGCGCGCATATTAGCTGTTTGGTAAGGGTCTGATTAAGCATACTTCGCATAACTTCGCACAACCATTTATACCAGTACACTAAAAGTGTAACTTAAGAAAATGTGAAGCAAAATCTAAACTCAACAGATCGCTAAGTCTTTAAAAGTGCTGCTAATTTCTGGGTAATGGAATACATACAAAGTACATACGAAATTACAGTTTGAAGTTTATGCGAAGTTGTGCGAAGTTATGCGAAGTATGCATACTCAGACCATAATAATTCACTTTTGCATTGTCAGCAGTGTTGCCAGGTCTTCGGCATGAGAAAACGTCCCTCTTGGTCTGGAAAAACGTCATTTCCTACCCAAAAACGTCTTTTTCAAATGAATGTACAAAAAATTCGTCTTATTAAACTTTTATTGCATACAAAAGTACATAGATATGTACGTAAGGTATATTAAAATGACATTTCGACAGAGCACATTTAAAATTCATTGTAAACTGGTTTGAGATCGTTAATATAAAAATCATTTTATACATATACTTCTGACCAGCTGATTAAGTCAACAATTTTTCGATCGATTTTGGCTGTTTCTCTTTTGTTTATTTAATGTTTATTATTTTTCCATAAAAGCCAAGCTCATTATATAACAAACAAAATATAAATCCACATTTCAAACTTTGTGCAAAAGTTATAAAAAATCTGTAAAGTTTCAGCTAGATTTTCAACTTTTTCAGATTTTTTAGAATTTTTTTAGATTTCGAGTATGCAGTTTGATAGCGCATTAAATTTCAGGGTAATAATGTGCAAGTTTGAATGGGCCAAATAATCGCGTTGATTTTTAATATTTTTTTTTTACTTGTAGGCATTTAGTTAGGGGCTCGGTTGTCGAAAATGCTAAATTACGTTCTGCTAAGAAGGAGCATAGCAATATTTAAACCTTTTTTGCGTTCGTTACATATTCAATGAAGTCTTAAAAAAGTCGCCTAGTTTTTTCTGGGTTTTTATGCCGCTACAGCTTTTTGAGCGTGCGTTTGGCTTTTAATGTGCCTATTGCAAACATTACAATAAGCCTCGTAACCTCAAGTGTTTAAACAACCAGCCTTTGAATACGGGATCCTTAGTCCAAGATAAAAAAAAAGTGCGCGTACGCTTGGTTTGCATCATATTTCATATATCATATCATATTTTGTATCATATTTCATCATCTGTGTCCAAAGAATAGATATATTTTGAAGCAGCTGCTGCAAAATACAAAGCTTGTAAAGATTTTTTAAGAAAGTAATTCAAAATTAGTTCTACTTACAAGACCCTTACCACCAAAAAGAAAAATTACTGTTAAGTTAAAAAACGTCATTTTTTACACAAAAAACGTCCAAACGTCAACGGGATACAAAAAACGTCCAAATGACGTTAAAAACGTCAACCTGGCAACGCTGGTGGCAGTGTCCACCTCTGATCACAATTGTTGTTGACTTTGCACTGCTTAGAGAGCTCTGATCACTCATACTCGCATTTACCGATGACGAATGTTTTACTTCGGCAGACAATTTCGGTGCACTTTTAGCGCCTGCATACGATTCAGAGCCAATTGTTGTTAGCTTTCCACTGCTTGTAGAGCTCGGATCACTCGATCGCATTGACTGATGGCGAACGTTTTACTTCGGCAGTTAATTTCAATGCACTTTTTCCTGCACTAGACCCAACTTTATTGTTATTAACAGATTGCATCTGCAAAACAAAAATGTTGCTTTTGCCCCTGTACAGATACCCATATAAATCTTACATCGTTTATTTTGATGTTTTCTTCTGAGGCAAATATGGTTCTATTTGTATTATAAATCTATATATGTATCTATATATAATCGTACAGAGACAATTTACTTTCAAATTAAGGTTCTGCATCTGAAACTTTGCACAAACAATTCAGATTTAAAAATCATTCGCTGTACATATGTATTTGCACGGAATGATTTTTAAAATTTTACATTGAGCAATTTTAAAATGTAAAACTGAATCCCACACACGCCATCTCATTTTCACCAATTTTGAACAATTTAATTTCTTTATTTTCAATTTTTTATAGTTGTTAAATGCTGGAAAACTTAATAAAATCCTGGCGGGCGAACTGAGGGAACAGTAAAGTATTTTTTTTCACAAAATAAGCACTGTACGATAGTTAATAAAGAAATGGTTAATATGATGTCCGGAGTAGATATGGCGTCGATATCTACTGTCGTTTCTGAATATCCACAGGAGCAAGTAGAAGTAGGCGAGTTGCACCTTATGACTTGATACTAAAGGCGTATTCAGCGTTCGTGTTAATAAAGAAATAGTTAATATGTCGTCCGGAGAAGAAAATTTTTGCTATGGCGTCGATATCTACTGCCGTTTTTGAATATCCACACGAGCAAGTGGAGTAGGGGAGTTGCACCTTATGGCTTGACACTAAAAGTTAGAGCAGTTGTGATGCCAATCCACGACCTAAATATGTACATATGAAGGGTTAGTTAATGGTCTCGCCTAATAGTTGAAGAATTGTAATGTAATTGTTTGGATGGCGCAATACAAATATGTACATATAAAGGGTAAGTTAATGGACTTTAAACATGTGATTCGAATTATACTATCCCATATAAATTAACAGCCCAGCGAATCAACACTTTAAACGTCGCCATTTCAAAATAATTGTAGCGTTCGCAATAACAATAAATAAGTCTCAAGGTCAGACCCTAGCAAGAGGAGTGCTTAACGCATGGCGTATTGAGTAGAGTACGATCTTGCCCAAATACCAAGTTAAAGTTAACTACCAAAAGCAATGCATGTGATTTTTAGAATAAAGAAATATGCAGATTTTGTATACCACGGAGCACCCCGATTTTCGGGGATTATTACTAGTACCTAATAATAATGTATACTTAGTAATAATATATATGATGTACATGTGATCTTCCATCTTCCTGCAACTTATGGAATTCTTCGAATAAGTGAAAATATAGCTGAACTGCTTACTCCTGTTGCTTTTTACTAGTCAACGATGATGTGTCTACCAGAGAAGCACTGCGAGTATGATCAAACTGAGTATATCCCATGATGCAATAATACAAGGTGTTATCAGTTGGGAACTTCTCGCTCTAATTCCGCCATATTGACTGCCTTAGCTGAAACCGTGTTACTTCTTTAACAATTCTTTGCCTAATAATATAGTTAATTTTTTTTTGTTTTTTCTCAGTATATACATTTTGTTTTCCCAAAAAGGTATTATACCTTATTTTATTTCATTTCATTGCGAATATACTATAAAAAAGCAAATTTTGTTTAGAAGAAAATATGAAATTTTATATTTTTAACCCAAATGGGGATTCATTTCCGCCCGTTTTTCTTCTTATTCTGCTGAGCTAAGGCAGTGTCAAATCGAGCTGTCACAACTGATAAAGCTCTCTTGAGGCATTTGCTACAGTAATGAGAAGTGATATTTTATCAAGGCCAGGTTACCTAATTTGAGTTGGAAATATTAGAACCCGCCGTGGAACCTCCACGTTTACACGTTCGCGCGTCGTATACCTGGAACCATTTTAAGGTAAACTTAACTTAGCGCGCAGACGAGATTTTATAATTTCATAGTTTTAAACGGCCTAAATACCTTAGCTCGCTTAAAAACTAACGAGCTATAACGAAATTGGCTCAGAAATAAAATCTAACATCATTAAATTATTTTTAATATTTGTATGAAAGCGCGGGGTGAAACCCGCGGGTATAAGCTAGTTGGTTTATAAAACATATTCTGACAAACATATTCTGAGCGTTCAGAATATATGAGTCTGAAAGGAGTCCTAGGTGGGTAAGATATATGAGCTTCAAAAACAAAAAATGTGTGACTCTTATATGAATATTTTAGGAGTTATAAATGATCGAAGTTAGGAGCCAGCACTTTGTGGCTATATAAAAACAATAAAGATTCGAAATTTATATCTAAAATTTTCTATACAGAAATTGAAAATATTTAGAAAACAAAAAATATACAAAATTTAGCTGCAGCTGCTGCTATTAAATGTATGTTGGAATGTTTATATGAACTGAGGTATGTATACATACATGTGTATAGTATTAGAAGTTCAATAAGAGTTGAAAAATAAGGCCAATATGCCTCAAAGGACAACATAAAATAAGAGTCCGAAGGGAGTTATTTATGGGGACTATAAACCACATTTAAGAGCCTCAAAAAAACTCTGAAACGATTCATATATGAGGCCAAAAATTGCTTTAAAAAGAGTCCAAAATGAGCCGTTTATGAAGCCAATGAGAGTCCAGTATGACTCATTTGGAGGCTTATTTGATGTATGAATTTAAGCTCATATAAGTCGACCTTCGGAGGAAGGAAAACACACTAATTTCGGGCTCTTAAATGAGCTCATTATGAGCGTAAAGGCTCCGAAATGGGACGCCTTAAAGACTCATTTATGACTCCAAATGTATATTTCATTGATATGTACATATCTCTCGCTCATAGGGAAAGCACTTTTTGAATTTTGTTTTTCGTGTTGCGCATGCATTTTCTTTTTACTTTAAAATTTCAATACTTCACACAATAAAAAAAAAAACGTTTTTCTCGATAAGTCAATGCTGAAACCACACGCTTTATTTCCTTTTAAATAAATTTCTTTTAATTCCGCAAATTAGAAATTCGCTAGAAATGTAAATACATAATTACTTCCAAATGTCAATTCTTGACTCAAGGGAATGCTTCGAACTATATCCGCTTAATTCACAGAATATGCTTTTCATGTGAGCGTTTTCAAAATATCTAATTAATTTGTATGTACAAAATCCAATGTGATACACGAAACACAAAGAAATTTAAATAAATCAGTTTCTACCTACCGATTATCTTTTGACTTACAAATTCTTAGAAAACACCACTCTTGTAAGACACAAAACTCCGCGACAAGCGTTTAACCTCGTATGTATCTACATATGTTCAAGACCGGTTTCAATATGTACGAACGACACTAATTACTATTTCAGTTGAAAAAAATATCAATAACGAAAAATAAACACTGGCATATGTTGATGTCGTTGAAAAGCAATATTGTATTCAAAAGAATCTGGTGCAAAGTAAATTTTGTTTGCAAAAATTGGTATATCTTTTTTGTCCACATTCCACTTTTGATAAAATATAGCCTATGTTACGTCCGAGGTCAATGTCTAGATACCAGTTAAAGCCCGATGAAAATCCATTCAGTAGTTCCGGAGATTAGTGAGTTCAAACAGTAAAACATATTCTGACAAACATATTCTGAGCGTTCAGAATATATGAGTCTGAAAGGAGTCCTAGGTGGGTAAGATATATGAGCTTCAAAAACAAAAAATGTGTGACTCTTATATGAATATTTTAGGAGTTATAAATGATCGAAGTTAGGAGCCAGCACTTTGTGGCTATATAAAAACAATAAAGATTCGAAATTTATATCTAAACTTTTCTATACAGAAATTGAAAATATTTAGAAAACAAAAAATATACAAAATTTAGCTGCAGCTGCTGCTATTAAATGTATGTTGGAATGTTTATATGAACTGAGGTATGTATACATACATGTGTATAGTATTAGAAGTTCAATAAGAGTTGAAAAATAAGGCCAATATGCCTCAAAGGACAACATAAAATAAGAGTCCGAAGGGAGTTATTTATGGGGACTATAAACCACATTTAAGAGCCTCAAAAAAACTCTGAAACGATTCATATATGAGGCCAAAAATTGCTTTAAAAAGAGTCCAAAATGAGCCGTTTATGAAGCCAATGAGAGTCCAGTATGACTCATTTGGAGGCTTATTTGATGTATGAATTTAAGCTCATATAAGTCGACCTTCGGAGGAAGGAAAACACACTAATTTCGGGCTCTTAAATGAGCTCATTATGAGCGTAAAGGCTCCGAAATGGGACGCCTTAAAGACTCATTTATGACTCCAAATGTATATTTCATTGATATGTACATATCTCTCGCTCATAGGGAAAGCACTTTTTGAATTTTGTTTTTCGTGTTGCGCATGCATTTTCTTTTTACTTTAAAATTTCAATACTTCACACAATTAAAAAAAAAACGTTTTTCTCGATAAGTCAATGCTGAAACCACACGCTTTATTTCCTTTTAAATAAATTTCTTTTAATTCCGCAAATTAGAAATTCGCTAGAAATGTAAATACATAATTACTTCCAAATGTCAATTCTTGACTCAAGGGAATGCTTCGAACTATATCCGCTTAATTCACAGAATATGCTTTTCATGTGAGCGTTTTCAAAATATCTAATTAATTTGTATGTACAAAATCCAATGTGATACACGAAACACAAAGAAATTTAAATAAATCAGTTTCTACCTACCGATTATCTTTTGACTTACAAATTCTTAGAAAACACCACTCTTGTAAGACACAAAACTCCGCGACAAGCGTTTAACCTCGTATGTATCTACATATGTTCAAGACCGGTTTCAATATGTACGAACGACACTAATTACTATTTCAGTTGAAAAAAATATCAATAACGAAAAATAAACACTGGCATATGTTGATGTCGTTGAAAAGCAAAATTATATTCAAAAGAATTTGGTGAAAAGTAAATTTTGATGGTATATTGGTATATCTTTTTTGTCTACATTCCACTTTTGATAAAAGATAGCCTATGTTACGTCCGAGGTCAATGTCTAGATACCAGTTAAAGCCCGATGAAAATCCATTCAGTAGTAGTCCCGAGATTAGTGAGTTCAAACAGAAAAACAATCTACAGTTTTATTATAGTAAAGATGATTTAAATATTTTAATTTTTAACGATTCAAAGTGAAGTGTATGTATATACCTACATATATACTGCTGCAAATAATTATAAACTCAAAGTAATTTTAAATGCAACGCAAAAATTTTAAAACAAATTGGTGAATTTACATAGTCTCATAAAATTATAAGTCCAAAAGTAAAAACTTAAAAAATTACGTAGTATGTTATACGCACCGAAAATACGGAAGTCACAGTTGTATTTTTTTAATTCCTTTTTCTATGCTAGACAACAACAAAATCTTTAAACAAAGCTAGTACAAACGCTAGTAGTAGTAGTTAAACAAACGAAGACGATATTCTTATGACCAATTTTTATACTTTATTTAATGCCACAAAATCCCAATACTGGTTATAAAACCATATAACGAAGTTCCAATTTTGTTTTTGTTAAAAAACCGATGGTTTTTTATAAACATATGATCTCTAATTTCATCAAATAAAGTTTAACTGCTAAATTATAAAAGAAACTTTTTTCATAAGAGTTTACAGAAATTAAATGATTTAACAGGATTCTAGCGATTTTTGTTTATTAATCTGGCGGGACGGCAGAAACAGAAATGGCAACACTGGGGGTGAGTACCGACTTGCTTGCGCGCATATTAGCTGTTTGGTAAGGGTCTGATTAAGCATACTTCGCATAACTTCGCACAACCATTTATACCAGTACACTAAAAGTGTAACTTAAGAAAA